CCTGCTCCATCCCCTGCTCCATCCCCTGCTCCATCCCCTGCTCCATCCCCTGCTCCATCCCCTGCTCCATCCCTGGCCCTGCTCCATCCTCTGCTCCATGCCCTGCTCCATCCCCGGCCCTGCTCCATCCCCTGCTCCACCTTAGCTCTGCATGAACCCCCTTGGAACTTCCACGGGCAGTTTGTCCGTCCTGTCCTCAGGAATTATTTTAGGACGGAGGAGTCCCCTTGCAGGGATTCCAGTGTCCTTCAGCTGGTAAAAAGAGCTGGAAAAAGTGGGAAAGCTCATTTATGGCCTGTTAGAGGGGGGAAAATGTGTCCCATTCCAAGGTCCAGAGGAGATCCCGGAGATGCTCCAAGGGCTGGAGCCAGGCTGGGAGAGCTGGGGGGGCTCCCCTGGAGAAGAGAAGGCTCCAGGGAGAGCTGAGAGCCCCTGGCAGGGCCTGAAGGGGCTCCAGGAGAGCTGGAGAGGGACTGGTGACAAGGCAGGGAGGGACAGCACACAGGGAATGGGTTTAGACTGGAAAAAGAGAGATTTGAGTGGGATATTGGGAAGAAATTCTTCCGTGGGAGGGTGGTGAGGGGCTGGGATGGAATTCCCAGAGCAGCTGTGGCTGCCCCTGGATCCCTGGGAGTGCCCAAGGCCAGGTTGGAGCACCCTGGGATAGTGAAAGGTGTCCCTGGGTGGAACTGGATGAGCTTTCAGGTCCCTCCCAGCCCCAACCATTCCCGGATTCTATTCAGTTCCAACTGCAATTCCAAGCCTCGGGATGGGCTGATGGATGAGAATTCCTCTAATTCTGTCCTCTCCTCCTCTTTCCCAGAGTGATTTGTCCTCCAGCCTGGACGAGGTGAGTCTTTAAGGATCCCTTGCTTTTCATCTCGGGCTGGGGCAGATTTGCCTCCCTGGGGGAGCCCCTTTTTCCAGGAGCATCCGGATTTTGGGGACAGGAGTGACCACCAGCAGGACGGGGTGGGTGGACTCTGTGCTCGAGCCATGGCAGGGAAAGTCAGCGTGGGATTGGGAAGCATGTTGGGATCCATCCCAGCTCCCTGGGATGTGTGTGTGTGTGTGTGAGGAGTTCCCCCTTCCCAAAGCACGCATGGAAAAGCTGGAATGCTGGGCTGCCCCTCGGCTGCACCTCATCTGGAATCCCGGCTGCCACCTTTCCCTGGGGGATTGGCCAGGAATTGAGGATTTCCTGGAGTGTTCCAGTGGTTCTGAAGGAAATATTCTCATCAGGGAGGTGGTGGCTGCCCCATCCCTGGAAAAGTTCAGGGTTAGGTTGGGTGGGGCCTGGAGCAAGCTGGGATAGTGGGAGGTGTCCCTGCTCATCCCAGGAGGTTTGGACTGGATGACCTTCGAGGGCCCTTCCAACCCAAACTATTCCGTGGGTCTGTGATTCCGAGACCAGGATCCCGACCTGTCCAGGTCTCTCCCCAGACCTCGTGGTTCCTTCGGAGCAGATCACCATGGGGGGAAGTTCTGTCCTGGAAAACTCCAGGCAGGGAGTGTTGGGGTGGCCCTTGGAGCCAGGTGACCCCAAAATCTGGGAGATGAGCTAGGGAAGGACCTGAGGCCTGCAGAGAGCCTGGCCACATTCCCAGGGAAGCTTGGATTGGATGGGATGAGCACATTTTCCAGGCTGCCTTTCCCGAGGGAGCAGGGCCCACCCCTGTGCTCCCATGATTGGTGTGACCATAATCATCTCTCTGCTCTTTCTCCTCCGTTATTCCCATCCCTGGATGGGGAATTCCACAGCTCTGCCTCCCGGCCTTGTTCTCCGAGGGGCTCCTCCAATGGGTATTTTGCTCCCCTCCACCCCCTTCCTTTTCCCAGAAATCCAAGCAAAATCCCAGCAGAGACTCTCGGGGAGAGCAGCTCCTCCAGAGGGGCCTGGCCTGGCCCTCCTGCCCCGTGGGACCCCCACCCCCCCCATCCCCCTGAGCCTCATCCCAAAGTTTGGGTCCAGCCCGAGTCTCCAGCGCCTTGGGGAGAATCCAGCTCCTGGAGGACCAGGCTGGGACCATCCTCCCGCTCCATCTCTGCTTGGGAATGGCCTTTTGGGGCCAAATCCCCTCCAAACTGTGGGATTTAAGCCCTTCTTGGAACTGCCATTCCAAATGGGAGACGCTCCCAGCCCCGGTTCAGTGTTGGCTTCACCCATCGCTCTTCCAGCCCTGGATGATGGCCAGGGTGGGATCAGCCGAGCTCCAGAGCTCCCTCCCCCCGGGATTCCCTCTGATTTGTCCTTTTCCAAGCCATCCCACTGCCAGCAGGTGTTTTCCTGGCTGTCTCCTCCCTCCGACCCGCTGTGGGTGAGAGCTGTGCCTGGGAATTGCTTGTTCCCTGATCCTTCCCCGCTCCTGCCTCATCCCCGGCACTCCCTGCTCCCTGCTGTCCATCTGGTGAGACATCTGATCCTCCTGGAATCGCTCAGGGCCAGGAGAGCCACTGGAAAAGCCCCAGGAGAGCAGCAGGGAGCGAGAAGGACTCAGGAAGAGCTGGAAATGGTGCAGGGTTGGAAGCCCTGGGGCCTCCAAAGCTCAGCCTGGAGAGGGTGCAGGGACAGGCAGGAGCTCTTCCCCCGAGTTTTCCCTTCATCCCACATGGATTTCCCAAAGGACTGATCACTAAGGTCCCTTCCAACCCAAACCATTCCGTGATTCTGGGTGTGAGCAGCCTCAGATGAAGGATTTTGGGAAGCAGGGGGTTCCCAGGGGATGCTGGGGATGCTCTCCCTTCTCCTTGGGACTCACCTCCTGGATAACCTTCCCATTCCCTGCCGGCACTAACCCCCTCTGTGAGCACATGGATCATGGGATGGGGGACTTCTCCAGGTGGGAAACCCGGACCTCTGCCCCAGAACGGAATTACCCAAAATCTCCAGCTTGAGTCAGCAATTCCCAACGGGAATTAAAGCTCCATGGCAAGGGCTTGGAACTGGATGATCCTTAAGGTTCCTTTCCAACCCAAACCATTCCGTGATTCCACGATTCTCTACGTGCCACGTGGAAAATCCCTTTGGGGAGCATTTCTTTGTGCCCAGATGGAAACCTGCCCCACTCCTGGGGCTGGAACAGAATCACACTGGATTTAATGCGGTGGTATTCCAGCCTGGAAAGAATTCCAGGTTCCCAAATTGCTCCCAAGTGCCCTTGTTCGAGGGGTGGCATTTTCCGAGGTTTTCCTTTCATTCCTGCTTTTTTTTGGTGGCTCTGGACTGGGAGGTGCAGGTTCCAGAGGAACACGAGTGTCCAGGGAATTCTGGCTCCTGCTTTGCTCCTCTCAGAAGGCAAATTCTGAATCCCTCGTGTGCTTCCCAGATTTGGGATCACCCTCTGGAGCTCTCCCTCCCTGGGCACCGTGCAGGGGTGGCTTTCCCTGAGCCCTGTCCCGTGGGATGGTGGTTGATGTGGTTTGTAGGAACAGCAGCCCCTTCCCACCCCCGGGGGCGATGCCAGCCCCCCATCCCGTGGTGCTGCTCCCACTAAATCACTACTTTTTGGGAATTGGCTCCCAGCATCTCACTCTGCCCAACTCTGACCCTGCTGCTGCCGCTTCCTCCCCTCTCCTCATCCCTCTGGGACCATCCCACCGTGATCCTGGTGGGACAGAGGTGGTTCCACCCCCCTTCCCTAAAAGGGGCTGAACTTGCTGGAGGGCAGATCCCTCCTGATTCCCTGGGAATGCTCAGGGATCGCTCCCAGCAGGTGTTTGATCCTCTCCAGGCTCGGATGAAAGGGGGAAAACCCCCTCTGGCTGTCCCGGCCTTCTGGGAGGAGATGAGTTTGGTGGAGAGATGGAGCGGGGAGGGGGGTCAGTGTCCCATCCTGGGGTTCCTGACGTGTCCTTTCCCTCTCTCTGCTCCCTCAGCCGGAGGATTCCGACCTTCCCTACCCGCCCCCGCAGCGGGAGCCCAACATTTACATGGTGCCCCAGGGCATCAGACCCGTCCTGCAGCGCACGGCCATCGAGGTGAGAGGGGACAGGGAATGGGGTCATGGGGACATCGAGGTGAGAGGGGACAGGGTCATGGGGACGGGGTCATGGCCATCGAGGTGAGAGGAAAAAGGGTCACGGGGTCATGGCCATCGAGGTGAG